CCTTGAGCTGAGATTCTTCTCCTTCTGTTCTATTTTGTTTGGGTTTGTCTTTTCATAGTGTTCTAGATTCGCTGGATGTTATATTCCAGTAAATTTTTAGATTTAAAATTTTCTTTATCAATATATCTATTTCTTATGTCATACACTCCAAACCTGACATTCTGTTTCGTCTTGTATTCTTTTGGTGAAGCTTACCTCTGTATGTCCTGTACAATTATCTAGGCTTTCATTACCAGAATTCATTAAGTTTGCATTTTTTAAGGAAATTACTTCCATTTTCAGTTCGTGAACAGATCTATTCGTTTCCTTCAACTGTTGGGTTGTTTTTAAAGGGATTTATTAATTTTCTCCAATATTTTATTTATTCTTCCACTGATTTCTTTAAGGATTCATTCAATTCCTTTTTAAGGTCTTCTATCATCTGTATAAAGTTGATCATAACCCAATTGTGCTTCAATTGTGTTGGAATATTCAGGACTTGGTGTAATAAGATAGCTGGAATCTATTAGCTGTTGTTGATTTTGTTCTTAAGCTGCTTTTGACGTGATTGTGGGTTTAGATGTTAGTTTCTAGTTTGTCATTGTTGGGTGGGTGTTTTGTTCCTTGGTTTTTATTTGCTCTCTGGTCTTTGCTCTGGGTGGCTTATGCTTGAATAGGGGTTCTTACTCCAATCTTGCAATAGGTCTGGCAGATAGTATATGCCCAAGTTTTGGGCTGTAAAAGGGAAAAAGAGAGGGAGCTTTGGGGTAGTTTTCAGGAGGCATTGAGAGAGTGTGGGAGGTCTGTGGGCAGGTGGCCTAATGGCCTGGCAGATGGTGTTCATTTTGTTTGACCAAGTTTGAGGCTACAGCACAGAGATAAGGAGAGAAGTGGAATTGGGGATGTATTGGGGGTTATTGCAGGCAAGCAACCTATGCTGATTCTCATGGCTGCCATAGCCTCTAGTCCAGCAGTGAGTCTTTGTGTCAGTTTGCCTACCTCTTCTTCTGGCTGGTATAGCCTGCAATTCAGCAGAGGATATCCATTTTATTTGTGGGTGGGGACATGGATTTGGGGGTGGCAGCTCTATGGTTGGTAGGGAATTGTGTCTGTGGGAATTAAGGGACTGTGGAAGTTTCATGGGCTTATGGCCGACCTGTATACCTGTTCTTCTGGCCGGTGTGACATGCATATGAGCAGGGGATGTCAGTCTGTACTGGGTCTGAAACACCACCCTATTCCTTTTTCTTGTGTGTTAGAAATCCTTAGTTGATGGTCAAGAGATTGTCTTGAGTGTCAGAAAAGACTTTGGACATTTGTACTGTTTGGGCTGCTACAAATTATGAGGATCATTGAACTGAATCAAAATGAATTTACTTTTTTTTGGTATTTATTGTTTTCTCATAAAACATTGTGACTGCAGCTTCCCCTTCCTGCACCCCTTCTAGCCTCCCTCCTGCAAATCCCCATCTCCCCAAATTCACTGCTACTCTTTCCCTTCAGAAAAGAGCAGGCTTCCCAAGGATATCAACCAAACACATCATAACAATGTACAATAAGACTAGGCAGAGACCCTCATATCATTTGGAAGAATGTGGATGATGTCAAGATTTTAGGTGAAATAAACTATACAAAATTGGACCCAGAACTTAACTAGCTTTTCTTTTAGTACTAGGAAGATAGAAATATTAAGAGTAATGGCAGAAAGTGGGGATTGAGAACATGGGATTTCAATCATAGACTTAAAAAAAAAAATAGAGGTCATTTGTGTGATATTTTTGCTTCAGAATATTTCTAATTCTGCTTATGGCCTTGAAATTTAGTAAGGCAGAATTAAAAAGTAATGGATTCATTTCTGAAATGGAATATTGAATCTGTTGCAATATTATTGCTGATGACTCATGCAGGTCTACAGTGAAAGAAAACAAGTGGGGCAGAAATGAATGGAAATGAACAGGTAGATTCCAATGGCAGGCAAGTGCTGAAATTGAGTAGGATTTTTCAGAGAGTTTAATAGCCATTATATAGAATGCCCTTGACATGGAATGGAAGCCTAGAAAGGTCCCTAAGGGGAAGACTCCATCTATTTATGGAAGGAGTAAGCAAAGTGATTCCTAGTCCCAGGAAGCAACTTAGTACAAAACCTGCTACACCTATGGTCCAGGCATGTTAGTGTCCATTCCAATCAAGAAACCAAACTTTGCAGACTCAATCCCTTTTGCTGTTCCTGGAATCAAAGGATCACAATGTAAGTTAGTCTGTGGTTACAGTTCAGCATTGTTGTAGGCATCTGTGTTTGGCGGAGTCAGAATGTTTTTTACTTTTTTTTTTTTTTTTTTTTTTTTTTTTTTTTTATTTTTTTTTCAGCTGTCAAATAAATTACACAAATGGGGGCTTATTCATTAGCTTGGCTCATTTCTACCTAGCTATTCTGAACTTAAATTATCCCATCTACATTTTGCCTCTGGGCTCTTACCTTTCTCTATTCTGTATATATTTCTTCACTTCTTATTCCATGGCTTGCTGTGTAGCGGGGTGGCTGGTCCCTGGTGTCCTTTCCTTTTGTTGTGCCTCCTTCCCTTTTTCTTCCTAAATCTCTCCTCCATTTCTTCTCTCTGCCTGCCAGCCCTGCCTCTCCTGCCCTTCCAAGTTATTGGCCATCCAGCTCTTTATTAGAACAATCAAGAATTTTAGGCAGGGAAAGAATCACAACTTAGTGGAGTTAAACAAACAAACAAACAAATAAATAAAAGAATGCAGCACATCTGTGCATCATTAAAACAAATGTTCCACAGCAGAAAGAAAAAATAACATATCAAGATGTTGAGATACCTAAGCTATGAGACATCTTCCCTGAAGACAGAGCTGCATATATGGAGTGGAAGTAACCAAGGAGAGAGTTGTATGAAAAGTTGCAGAGATAGGGCCATCTAAGCTCTTTGAAACTGAAGCCCCATGCATCTGTAGCAGAGATGGTCTTTGTCCAACTATGCTTCAGTCTTGTCTTGGTCCAGTCTTCCCTCATGTCTCCACTTCTATCCTTTTTAATATGTTCTGAGCCACTTTATGATGGAAAGGTATAACTTGTTTTCTGATTTTACTAGATGCCACTGTCAAGACATCGTCTTGAATGTCGGTAGACAGTGTAAGGGCTGTTGCAGACTAGGAGAATCATTGAAGTGACTAAATACATGTTTTTTTCATGGATGACCATGAGTCTAAAGTGACTGGGCAGAGTGTAGTTGATTGAATGAAAAAAATGACCCAGATAGGATGATGTATTTGAACATGTGTCTCTCCTTAGGGGCTTTCTTTAAATTGCTTATGAAACCTTTACTAGAGGAGCCTTTCTGGATGAAATTTCTCATTGAGGGTGTGAGATGAGTCTCAATATCCTCAACCCATTTCTTCTTCCTTGTATCTACTGTTTTGCTGTTGAAACTAATCAGCCTGCTTCCTTCTCATAATGTCATTGCCTCACTACCATTATAGATTCCATCTCTAAATCACATAAGATACAGTAGAAGCAGCTGATATTTGGTGCTAAGACAGTTTGGTATCCTGCTGTTTAAATTGTTTGTTTTGTTTTCTTTTGAACATAGAGTTTTTCTGTGTAACCTGCTTGTCCTGAAAGTAGCTCAGTAGACCAGCCTGGCCTCAAAATCAGATCCCCCTGATTCTGCCTCCCAAGCCTTGGAATTAAAGGTGGGTCAGCATTCCTGGCTGTTTTGTTTGTTAGTTTGTTTTTATACTACTGGGTGATTGGCATGGAATGTAGGTTTTTGTACATGTTGAGCATATGCTATTATACTGAGTTTCAGCCATATCTTGAATTTTAAAATTGGCAAAGGGTATCATTCTGTTTCCCAGGATGACAAATATTCATGACATTAATACTTCCTAAGCCTTCTGAGGCATTGAATTGAAGATGCATTATCTTCTTCCAGCCTGTTGTTTTTGGTTTGAATTTATTTACTTATTTTTCATTTATTTATTTATTTTCTTGCTTGTTTGGTTTTTCAAGACAGGGTTTCTCTGTGTAGCTTTGGAGTCTGTCCTGGTACTCACTCTTTAGACTAGGCTGGTCTGTAACACACAGAGAACCACCTGCCTCTGCCTCCAAAGTGCTGGGATTCAGGTGGTGTACCACTACTGCCCAGCTTGTTTTGCCCTTTTTTTTAATGAATATAAGTATTTTACCTGTATTCATTCATATGTATCACATGGGTACCTGGAGTTGTCTCAGAAACCCTGAACTTAGAATAATGGATAGGAATAATGGATAGTTGTGACTTTCCTTTGTTGATTACATATGATGCAAATATATATTCCTGATGTTTTCATCTGTCCATTTGTAAATGTTTGAATATTCAAGGCCTTTTGTAAATGCCTTTTAGTAAAATATTATTGCTATTATAGTTTAAATTAAGGCATTTCAGGTTTCTGGAAGATGGGTAAGAACTGGATTAAATACATAACTCTTCGTAGGAACTTCAGTAAAAGCCTCTGATTTCTTTTTCTCTTTTTGGTTTTTTGGGCTGATTGTTTCATGGGAGACAGTGTCTTAATATGTATTTTTGTCTGTCCTGGACCTGATTGCATAGACTAGCCTGGCATTCAATTCAGAGGCAAATATACCTGTGTCTGCCTTCTGAGTGCCGGGGTTAAAGGTGATGGACAGTACACCCAGTTTGTCCATCTTATTTTTCTTTTTATAGTTAGTAATTGTTCATGTAATTTCTCTCATATGTACTCTGTACTGTTGATCTGTCTACTTGTCTCTCTAAGTTTGTTAATAGGTATTGCTCTTGCAAGGTGATATCCCATTCAAAGGATACAGAAATGACAGAGGTGACTCTGCTATTCACTTTCCTTCTAACATGACGTGGTTATTACATTATAATATCTGTGTCATGGAATAAGTGTGGGGAGCACCAGAATTATATGACTGTACTGTCAAAGAAGTATACAATATTGTCAATATCATGCTTTCTGTTGTACACATGTCTGGGATATTTTAGAATTCAGTGACCTATGATGATGTGCATGTTGACTTCACTTGGGAAGAGTGGACTTTGCTGGACCCTTCCCAGAAGAATCTCTACCAAAATGTGATGCTTGAGACCTACATGAACCTCACTACTATAGGTAAGACTGAATTTTCATGCACATTTTAAAATAAAGGGACAACTATCCCTTGGATATTCTTCTTTGATTTGATTGAGTAAGAAAAATAAGGGGAATAAGTCAGTCATGGTTCTATGGTTAACTGAAGGTAGTAAATTAAATTTTACATAATTTCCAATAACATAAACTTTCTTGTACTATATTTTAGGATACAAATGGGAAAGCCATAATATTGAAGAACATTGTTCAAGTTCTAGAATACATGAAAGGTAATTTTCATGTGCAACATGATGCAAATGTGTCTCTCAAAAGTTTTGATGTGTCCTGGAAGTTTAAAAAAAAAAAACAACAGTGGAAATAAGCAGAGCTTAAGGTACATTGATGATTATTAAATTCTAAAACTGTAAACCTCAATTTCAGGTAGGTGAGTTGCATTTGTATGGCAATCTTTTTGGAAAAAGACAGGGAAATAATGCCTTAATAGATATCACCATTTTAATTACATCACCATGAGAACTATGCTGTAGTCAATCTATTTATTTCATATTACTCATATTATAAAGTGTGTATTCATTGAAAAGATTATAATTTTATATCCAAAACCTTCTGATAAGCAAATAGTCCATAGTAAAGCTAGAGTTACTCATATATTTGTTGTGAATATGCTAATATTAAGTTTAGTGAGAGGAACAGTTATAGTCATGAACCAAGGGACGTTTGTTATGGAGAGACCTTAACCTCTACACTACAAGTCTCTGAGGAATGTAAATTCAAACTGGGTGGATTCAATGTGGAAACCTTTATTATTTATTTTTCCTTTACATGGTGTAACATATGTTACTCTGGATATAAGCCATATGAATATAGTGATATGGAAAGGCATCACATACCTGGATCTCAGAAAAATTATAAGTTATGTAGCAGTCACCACGTTGAGTAGGCATGTTGAATTTGATTCAGTATTCAAGTACCTGGTTTTTCAGTTTTATTGTTAATACATCAACAAACTCATACTGCAGAAAAGACCTATGAGTACTAAGATTATGTAAATATTCTGCTTGTCCTAGTTCACTTAGTAAATATAGTATGACTTATACTGTAAGAGGATTTACGAAGGCAATAATGGTGGTAAAGATCTGATTTTTTTCCAATTCTCTTCAAATATGTAAAAAGTCTCACATAGTAAAAGTAATTCTATAAATGTGAAGCATGTGATAAAGGTATAATGACAGGTGTAGTCAAAGATGCAAAGCAGGGGAACAACATGAATGTTAACACAGTGATAAAATCTTGAGATCTGATACCTCTTTGAAATTGAAGCAAATTGTAAAATTAATTCATACAGACATAAAGATTCAACAGTGTGTGGAATGTAGTAAAGCTGTTACATGTGCCCATTATCCTTGCAGGCACAAAAGAAGACAAACTGGAGAGAAGCCTTCTGTATATACTCAGTGTGTTAAAGCTTTTACATGTGACAGTTATCTTCAAGGGCATGAAAGAACTCATACTGGAGAGAAACCCTATGAATGTAATCAATGTGGTAAAACCTGTGCACAACACAATCATCTTCAAAGGCATGAAAGAACACATACTGGAGAGAAACCCTATGAATGTAATCAATGTGGTAAAGCTTTTGCACGTCAAATAAATCTTCAAGTGCATAAAAGAATACATACTGGAGAGAAACCTTATGTATGTGATCAGTGCGGTAAAGCCTTTTCTCATCACAGTACTCTTCAAATGCATACAAGAATAATACATACTGGAGAGAAACCCTATGAATGTAATCAGTGTGGTAAAGCTTTTGCATGTCACAGTCACCTTCAAGTGCATAAAAGAAAACATACTGGAGACAAACCCTATGAATGTAATCAGTGTGGTAAAGCCTTTTCTCATCACAGTTCTATTCAAAAGCATAAAAGAACACATACTGGAGAGAAACCCTATGAATGTAACGAGTGTGGTAAAGCTTTTGCATGTCACAGTCATCTTCAGAGGCATAAAACAATACATACAGGAGACAAATCCTATGAATGTGACCAGTGTGGTAAAGCCTTTTCTCATCACACTACTCTTCAAAGGCATAAAAGAACACATACAGGAGAGAAACCGTACAAATGTGATCAGTGTGGTAAAGCCTTTTCTCATCACAGTACTCTTCAAATGCATAAAAGAACACACACGGGAGAGAAACCCTATGTATGTGATCAGTGTGGTAAAGCTTTTGCATGTCACAGTCATCTTCAAGTGCACAAAAGAACACATACTGGAGAGAAACCCTATGTATGTGATCAGTGTGGTAAAGCCTTTGCTCAGCACAGCACTCTTCAAATGCATAAAAGAACACATACTGGAGACAAACCATATGAATGTAACGAGTGTGGTAAAGCTTTTGCATGTCACAGTCATCTTCAGAGGCATAAAAGAACACACACTGGAGACAAATTTTATGAAAGTAATCAGTGTGGTAAAGCCTTTGCACATCAATGTAATCTTCAAGTGCATAAAAGGACACATGCTGGAGAGAAAACCAATGAATGTAAGCATTTTTATTTTAGCCTATGTACTTGTTAGTAGTCTTTGAAGTCATGAGAAAAAAAAATGTTCATACTTCACTGACACCTTGTAAAAATAGTCAGTGTGGTAAAGTTTTGCCCTTTATACAGGAGTAAAACTTTTTTGTGTTCAATCTACTCAAGGTTTTGCATATTGTAATAGTCTTTGAGTACCTGAAAAATATAGTAAGGGCTTCTTATTATAAAAGATTTGGTAAGATCTTTAGCTAACACACTTCTAATCAGTTGCAAAACAGTATTCTGTAGGGAAAAAAAAATTAAAGGTTTCAACAATCTGTTCAAGCATTATGCTTCCGTTTTTATATTGTTTCCACCAGCAACCTCATGGGGGAAAAAACAAACAAACAAACAAAACCCTCAATTAAGAGCCCTATATGTAGGGTAAATGGACCAATCAAAGAAACACACATTGATCCTGCAATCAGAGCCAGTGAAACACCCGGACTTTGGCCCTGAAACTGAAGTCAAAGAGATGCACACTGGCCCTTAAACTAGAGCCAAAGAAGCACACTTTGTCCCTAGTCCAGAGCCCGTCGAAGAAATACCCTAGCCCTGAAACCAGGACCAAAATGTTATCATCGAAGACATACCCTAGCCCTGAAACCATGACCAAAATGTGAGAATCAGCCACTGAAAGGAACACATTTTGACCCTGAATCCAGAGCCAAGGAGACACATTCTAACTTTGACTAAGTGAGTGCAAAACCAACAAATCCATGAGACTGAAACCAGCCAAACTCTGAGCATGACATGCAGCCCATCTCTGGGATTGTTTAGGCAGCCAAGGAATTGAATTCTGGCCAATTTCTACTCTGAAATTTTTATCTCTGGAAAATCTCCATTCCCAAAGAGCCCTATGGAAGGTGTATGTTTCCTTGTTCAGTGGGCAGCTGCCCTTTTCCACCCTGGCAGAGAGAGCCATTCTTGAACCCCCACCCTCCAATAAATCTCTGGAATGAATTTTGGCTGATAACCTTCTTACATGTGAGCAGATCAGAAACTCTGTAGTGGATCAGAGCAGAGAAGCAATGAACACCTGTGCTGGAAAATTCCCTTAGGGGAGCAGAGCAAAATGAACAGCTTATTGTTGGAGTCAGAGCTACTCCGTTTTTGCAGCGGTTTCCACTTTAGTTGAATGAAGCAGAGAAATAACAGTTTGGACTGGAGCTGAGGAGAGCACATACATCTCAGCTGGCAGACTCCCTGGTGGATCAGAGTGGAGAGACGTGGACACCTCTTGGGAAACTCCCCGAGGGGAGTGGAGCAAAGCAGCAATAGACATCTTTGCATGGAACTGTCTTAGCAGAGTGGAGCAGAGCCCAGCTGTAATGGCTCTCTCTCAGACAGGAGCAGGATTGCTATTCCTCTTTGTGACACCATCTCCCTTCGTGAACACAGCTTCATGCATAGGCTGATATCAGGATTCCTTTCTCCTCTCAGCTGTAGGTATCCAAAGCTTTCCGAATCTGTAGGTATAGCCTGCCTTCTGATAGTCAGAGCATGTGGTTCCTTCCAGAGATGTAAGCCTTTTAGATTTTATACTTCTCTTCAATTGCTTGAATTATCAAATTCAGGAGTCAACTTTATGGGTTTGTTTTAGTTTCTTCTCTGTTCCTATGATATAAGGTCAATGTCAACTTATAAGCATTTAATTTGGCCCTTGGGTCTAGAGGGATGCAGGATCACCATGAAAGGGGCATGGCAACTAGTGTCTGACATAGAAGCTATATCAGTAAGCTAAGAAGTCACATCCTTCAACTGCTGCATGAGGCAGAGAGTGGGAACCGGAAATGATGTGTGGATGTAAATTCTCAGTGCCTAACCCTCAGGGACATATTTCCTCCAGAAGAGCATCATTTTCTAAATCTTCCGAAATGATACCACCAACTTGGAAGGATTGATTTCTCTGACTTCAAGGCTACATGCTTGCTTTCTGTTACATGTACCAATTCATGATGAAGAAAACTCTGTAACCATTAGATGCCTCAACACCTGTGGTACAGGAATGAATGCTTGCAAGAGAAAAACTTTCATGACTGAAAAATTGTTTACCACGTTGTTTTGATTGCAATTATTTACTGTCAGTGCGTGATTGAGTGGGTTTGTGAATGTGTATTCTGGTTCCTGACATTAGATCCTTGGCAGTCGGACCAGGATGTGTCCCTAGTTCATGGTGTATGATTTAGCTTGTTGGAGCCCATTTCCTATGAGGGGATGCCATGCTCAGCCTAAACGAAGGTGGGAGTGGTATGGTTTTAGCCTACAATGGGAAGACAGGTTGGAAAGCTGAAGGTCTGGTTTGTAGAAATGTTCAACTTTGCATTCCACATTCAGTTTTGTGTGAAGCGGTTTACAAATAGTTTAGAAACTGGTATAAAGGAGGTAATGGGGACTCATCCTTCAGCAATACTTGATTATAATGCTTTTTGCTTTCCTCTACCACTAACCACAACAGAGAAATTCAGGGAAATTCAACTCCAGGGAACAAAAGGAATTTCTGAGCTACAGAGGTTCCTTGGGTGTACATGGTGTGCAGGTTAATAGTGTAGAGTCCACATATTGTGCAATAATCCATGTGGCAGGATGCTGGATTCGTCAGTGTTTTTGTGTGGTCATCAGTCAGACTGGGTTTGCTAAACTACAAGGGGGATGAGGGGATGAGAGAATGCATAACTATAGTCTTCCTGATCACCTCCATTTCCAAAGAGCTCTAGAGAATGGGGCCTCTGTGTTTGGGAATGAGATCACTAATAGCTAGAGGGTCAGAAATAGAGAAGTTTAGGGTTCACTTTGAGTATTTTTGTGGGATTTCTGAAGTCTGTGTTTATTTAATTTCTATACAGACTCAATCACAGATTCCATTGGTTAAGTTCACACTTTTCCTGGTTGAGTTTCCTTAGGTCTTCTGATTTAAGTTTGACTATATTTTTCTTCTTTTGTTCTTGGCTTGTTCTCTCTATCTTATTATTTGTTCACAAATATTGTACCCATTCTTCATTGTTGTAGTTTATATAAAGGACGAAATTATGTTAATCTGTGCACCATTGTTTTTCCTTTTTTTTTTTTTTTTTTTTTTTTTTTTTAATTATTAACCCTATTAAGAATTCTGAGCTTTTTCATGTGGCACATAGCTTAGGAATCAGATTTACTGTTGTAAATTTCTTGGGACTTTTCTATGGATAATATTGAATTTTCCTGTAAGTTGAACATACCCAACATCTTCATGATGTTGACAATAAGTCATTTTAATACTGTTCTATGCAAAGTATAAAGGACAAAAAGGAACTATTCTGTAGTGAGATACTCACTTTGTCTGCTTCTGTGGCACTGATCACGCCCATTGGGGGGTGGAGCCGGGGCAGAAGTGACCTGTGGAACTAAGTCTGAGGAGGAGTCCCGGAATGCTCTCTTGCTGGCAGGACGCGGAGAGGAGAGCATCCAGTGGAACTGACTGGTGTTCATCTGTCTAGGTTGTAAGTTATTTCTCCCTGAATAAACATCTGTTTGGCCTATTTGTTTATCCTGATCCTTATTAAACCGCGATATTATTCCCATTATTCCGAGTAATCTTTGTTTAGCAAACTACAGAAAATGTGTAAAAGTGAAACTAATTTGAAACAATGTACAAAGACAGAAAAAGGACTGCAATATAGTCCATTATTATGCTCACTTAAATGATAGCCTAGTAAGCATTATTTCATTGAGAAAGCAAAAAAGAGTGAAAGTAAAACTTGCTCTAGAATTTATCAGTGAATCTGAATGTGACATGTTATTGTGCAGTGGCATGCAAAATAATCTCTGATAGCAGTAGGTTGGGATTTTAAAACTGGTGTCAATTAAAATTAGTGAAATTGCCCATATCTAGTGTATGTATTCTGAGGCATTTAGACATATCACCTACACCCAAGCAATCCTATTAATACAAACAAAAGAGTAAACTGTTCTCCAGACGTGCTTCTATCCTTGTGTTCCTGTGTGTCTATAGTATGCAGAGCTCTCATAAAATGACAGAGTTGCAATGGAACCCACAAGTCTTCTCAATATATTTTCCCTACTATAAAAATTAGTATTAAGAAGAATCAGAATTCTCATGCTCATGACAGTTATACTCATGGTGGCCTGAATAGGAAAATAACCTAAATTTTCAGTTGTTGAGGATAAGCTTGTGGTTTCAAGAGGACAGGGTACTAGATGAATGAAGATGATAGCAGTGTTTAAAGGATTATACCCTTATAACCAGTGTTATATAAGTCATGAAAAAGCATATCATTCCATCTTAGGCTATGTTAACCTACTCCGTTATCCCATCTGATTTTCTGATTTTAATTTTTACCACACTCTCATTTGTCACATGAATGTGAGAGCTCCAGCCTTCATGTCTACACTAGATGTAGTAATAGAAAATGAAGGGCAGGAGGAACAAGAACGTAGTGAAAGCAAACAATTTCAGAGGGTTTTTCTAAAGTTCATTTAGTTGGTTTGTGGAGATGGATGAATAAATACCAATCTTTTAGCAAGAGTTGTTATAGAGATGAGTTGCAAATGTGCTATTATTCTCTGTATTTTCTCAGAATCTGTTGTTATGCCTCCCCCCACCCCCTTTCATTTCTGATTTTGTTGATTTTTAGGTAGCCTGTCTCTCGCTTTTAGGTAATTTGGATAAGGATTTATCTTTTTTGTTGACTTTCTAAAGGAACCAAATCTTTGTTTTATTTGTTGTTTGTATTGTTCTTTATTTCTGTTTTATGGATTTACCTATCAGTTTGATTATTTCCTACCATCAACACCTCTTATGTGTGTCTGTTTCTTGTTCTAGAGCTTTCAGGTGTGCTAAGAAGTCATTATTATGGAATATCTGCAAATTTTTCATAAAGTCACCAAGACTTTTGGTGACTAATGTGTCTTTAGATTCATTACGGTGTCCCCTCTGGCTTTTTAGGGGATAGGGTTTCCTAGATCAGACCTGGCCTTATTTAAGGTCAAGGTCCTCTTCCAAAA